CTGCTGCTGCTGCTGCTCCTCCCCGTGTTGCCTGTCCTCTTTGCCTTGTTTTTCCTGAGCGAAGAGCCGGCGCCGGCCCGCTTTGACCTGAGCCTCCAGCTCCTTCAGACGGTCATACACTCCATTGGTGCGGTGGTGCCCTGTCGCCCCTCCTACTATCCCACCTACTAGCCCATTCTTGGGCTCATAGCGTGGCAGCACCAGCGCACTAGGTGCTGTGGAGTCCGACAGCCCCTCCAGAGGGCCCCGTCGCGACTCCAGGTTCTTTTTCTCATGCAGCACCTCAGCCTGCAGTCGGAGGCGCTCCTCGGCGCTGAGCGAGTCATAGGAGAGAATGTACTGGAGGTAGGCCTCCTGCAGCTTGGCTAGCCGGTCCTGCGCTGACTTAGGGATACGCAGAAGATCGGCCAGCTTGGTCCACTTCTTCAGGTCCATTACCTGCTGCATGCCGCCCATGTCATTGATGAGCTGGAAAAAACGTGACAGGTCCACTTCACAGCCACCTGGGTGGAGCAGGAGGACACAGATGAAGGTTAATTCAAGGAAAACATGAGAAGTGAGCTTAGTGTGGTTAAATTTAAAAAATATGATATACGGCTCCTTGTGCCTTTTAGACTAATATTAAAACCAAAGGAAGGTGTCATCTTCATTACCAGAAATGTTGTCCCACCTTACAATGCTATGTGTACATTGAGAAGTTGCCCATTTTCACTTCAAACTCAGGTTTTGAAAAAAAAAACACAAATCAAATCAAATCAAGAAGCTATCTTGGAGCATCTGCTCTTTTGGCTAAACATGCCATTTCATCCAGGCCAGTTCATTTTATTTGAAACGGCCAATTGAGCTATCACCTTTCAAAATGATCTGAGCCATCATTGTGCCAAACAGAGACACACATTCTGCTAATGTAGAACTGATCTTCTGGGCACAGTAAAGGAAGTCATTTGGAACCAGGGTATCCTGGCTGGTTGAAGCCTCCACTGTGGCTCACTGGGTGCCAGGTCTTTCTGGCAAACAGCCGCATACCAACTGTACTCACACTGGGATAATCTGAATACAGCTGTATACAAACGCAACAAACACAGCACAGTGTATGCACAAGCCAGTGCAAAACTAATAAAATTCAACAAACACATATGTGCATGTATGGGGTGCATAGATGTGCAAATACAGAAAACTCACACATAGAGCTTCTGGATAAACTGGGGCTATATGCTCATAAAATGCTGATGTCATTGTGAGGGAAAATACTGTTTTTGTGGCCTGTCAGGCCCCTCGCCAAGTTGTTCCACATTGTTATTGTCATCTATAAACGGGAAGATAAAATCAGGCGGAATGAAACTGAAGCTTTCAGAGCACCACTGATACCAATGGAAATAGCAATATTTGTGATGCTTGCTTACTGGCTGCTTTTGTCATGGCTTTATAAAGCCCAGCACGAGTGACAAAACACAGTTTAAAAACTGCACGATACTGAGAAGGCAAACAGCACATTTGGTACATTATCTTCCTTTGATGTACTGTGTCACTTCAAGAAAAGCTGTGAAAGAGAAACAACCACAAGTATAGACAGGGACTAGAGAGGAGGCCTCACTTTGGAACGGGGTGTCTGGGATTAATTCACTACCGTAAAATCGATAGCTCCGGCCCTTCGTGGCAGTCTGCAGGAAGAAACCTGTGGCTTATTGCTTAGTTAATTCAATCGATCCCGGAAGGAGTTTTGTTCACTAAATTGCCTTGTGCAAATTCATATATACATATGTGTGTCTGTCTGTCTGGTTCACTTACCAATGACAGGTGGCTCATCCATGGTAATGCCCTGAGATTTGAGGTGCTTGCGGATGCAGGCCAGTCGCTGCACGTTGGGGCCCCAGCGCCGGCCCAGCATGTGGACCCTCTGCACCTGTGTAACAAAACGCATCTCCTCGCTCAGCTTGCACTCTGGCCGCCAGTCTGGTGGCGGGACCACGCGGCACATGCCAGCCGCCTCGGCCTGTTCCCTCACGGCATCCAAGTACACCAGGGGGTCCAGGAACTCCCGGGGCACTGGCCGGAAGACAGGGGCTTCACCCAGCGCTGCCCAGCCCTCTGGCCTGCTCCGCTGGCGCTCCCACTCCTTCTCCTGCTCGCGTTCCTTCTGGCGTGCCATCTCTTTCTCTCGCTCCCACTCCTTGTCACGGTCAGCGGGCCGCAATGCTGCTGGTTTGAGCTGTCCAGGGTTGTTGGTGGAAGTAAGCAGAGAGGATGTGGTGGAGGAGGACACAGAGGTTTGTTGGGGGTCTGAGGTAGTGCTGGCACGACTGGGGTTCTGTGGGTGATTCTGGCCTGATGAAGGGGAGGAAGAGGAGGAGCTCCGACCATGAGACCTGCTCTGCTGCTGCTGTGCTTGTCGAATCAACATCAGCTTGCCGGCCGATGCCCGCTTGGGTCGCTGGTTCAACGGCTCCGCATTGGCTGCTGGTGTAGAGGGAGGTTGGGTTTGATGAGGAGGGGGAGTAGGAGGTGGAAGTGGGGTTGCAGGTGGAGTTTGTTTAGGAGAGGGGGGTGTTTCTGATTCATGTCCATTAGAAATTGGAGTGGTAGAGTTGGTGGTTTGTGTGGCAGCTTTCTCTTGATTGATCTTCTTGCTGCTGCTGCGTGTCTCCAGAGGCGTGGGTTGAAGCTTGGCCTTTTTGGCCTCATTGCCAGTGGTTTTGGCTTTCTGCTCAACGACCCCTGTCCCCACTGAGTTAAGCACCACCTCCAGACGCCGCTTGGAGTTGCGCAGTCCCTCTCGACCTGGGCACTCCCCCTGGCCCTGCTGGCGCTGGCACTGTCTCTGTCCATCCTCCTTGACCAGGGTGTTGTGCCGCTGCCCATTTAGCCTGCCGTTGAGGCGGGCACCGGCAGCCACAATGTGCAGCCCATTGGATAGTAGCACCTGTTTGCGAGTTTTTGCATTGCTGTGGTGGGCTGGTGCCGCTGCTTTTCCTGAGTTGGCCAGCCCATTGCTGGCTGCTGGCTGGCTGTGCTGATTGTGATTGTTCGCTGACGATGTTGCCGAGGCGCCGCTGTTGTGTTTGTTGCTGCTGCTGAGTTTGGTTTTCTTGCCCAGTTCTTTCTGTTTGGCTTTGGTGTAGGTGACGTGGCCCTTGGACACGGTGGCTGTGTACTTCTTCACAGTTTTGGACGGCAGTCGGAAGTCACGGCTCTTTTTGGCACCACTGACAGCTTGTGCCGAGCCCGCCCGCGTCAGCCCATTCACTTTAGAGACCTGAGATCAACAGAATGAGTGGGGGAGAGAGAGTAAACGACGTTAGATTAATAGGTTAAAGAATCACAATGCTGTGGATCTGTCATATATATGAAGTGATAAGGAAATAAATAGGAAAACAGGCATTATTAATGTACCCCCCGGTCCCTTTCAAAAATGCCTGTTTTCCTATTTATTCTCTAACATTATACACATGCATGTGAAAGTTAAGAGTACTATTGCATTAAAAATAGCAAAATGTACCCACACACAGATAAAATTCTTTAATCAGAAAGTACGACAAGACACATGCAGGGGCGTGGTCGCACCCACACTCCACAATGAAGCGGACACACATTCAGATGCTAGCACTGCAGTAAAACATTTGGCCAGTCAGACTAAAGCTATTTGTGGAAACCTACGCTATTCATTAGAGAGCCAATCAACTGTCTTGATTACTATACTTTCAAATGCATTACACTTGTGTAAACTGCAGCTCAAACTGCTGTCAACACAAAGGCTGAGATTTAGAAAAGGATATGTGCAAACCAAAACCAAAACCACTACATCCCGAGATAAACAACAGTTTAGATCGGGTGGAAAAATGAGATGGTAGACATGAGAGGGAAAGCAGGGATGGCTCCATGGTTTCTGCTAGCAGATGGCTGGACAGTATGAGGTAGGAGGTGGGGTCATTGGAATGGAATAAAATCGCATCCGGGCACATAAAAACAGCCTTTTATTTGCCATGGGTTTCCTTAAATGCTATAATTCAATTTTTGTGCTATGAATAAAGGTCCTGTGTGTGTGTGAGAGAGAGACAGTGAAATGGAGCGAGTATGTGTGTGTGTGCACATGCATGAGAGTGAAGTCTTTGAGGCCCCCAGCTGTAGATCAGGGGTTTGGTGTTTGGTTCCACGGCTGGCTCACTGACTACAGCTGTGGTAAGAAACATGGTCACCCTCTCTCCTTGCAGTGCAAAGCTGCATCAATACATGTTAAAATCCATTGTGTAAAATTAAATTGTGTAGAGGACTCTGTCTAGCTGTTTCTGCCTTTCACTCTCTCACTTCATTCCCTGTATCCCACTTATATTTCCACTGTATGCATTTCTAAGAATATCCACTTTTTTCCTCTCCCCCCTCGTCTCCATGTTGTTTTCATGGCCCACTTTCACTGCTGCCACCAGTTTCTCATTCCCTGCGTGTGTTTGTGTGCGTGCGAGAAGGCCCTCCAGTGTGCAGAGCTTTTGCAAAGTTATAGATCAGTATTTGGTTGCCAGTATCTGAATGGGTTGAGCTGCAGGTCATGTTTCTGTAGTTGTACATTTTATTTTCAAAATATTTTCAAACAGAACAAATATGCTTTTTCTTTATGTTTTTATTCTCAAATATCTAAATGATGAGTGCACAGTATGGGGTAGGCACACTGGCACGTAAACCCCCGATTGTCATTACAAAACATTGAAATTTGCATCTGTAATCATGTTCCGCTGCCATTTATCTACAGTATCTGTGTGTCTTTCTGTCCAGACCAGCTGGAAGTGAACCGCAGAGGAAAGAAAGGAGGAGGGATGGGAGAGATGGAGTTATCAATCACAGTCGGGGCGCCACAGGAGGGAGGTGACAGCCGGCCCATTGACAGGTTTGCCTTTGAAGGGCTCTAGTGTCACACTTGTGTGTGTGTGTGTGTGTTGGTGTGTGTGTGGTTTGTGGTGGTGGCGTGTGCGTGTGTGTGTGTGCATGTGTGTGCGCATGTATTGTATTGTGTTTGTCTCAGGTGGCGGGGGGCCGACACAAAGACCAGGCCATTAAAAGATAAGGGGGGACTGAAACCTAACCCTGCCTCCGTCAATCATTCCCCCCCAACACACACACACACACACTCACTCCTCCTCACAATGGAAAAACACAAGGTGACAAGGAGAGAGTGAGGAGAGGAAGGGGATATAAGGGAGACTGAAAGAGAGAATTTATCAACAAAATGAGTGGATAAAGGATGGCTGTGGACTCTTAATGACTTTACTTAAGAATTAATGACCGATCTGACACATAATCTCAGAAAGTTCAAACTGCCTTATTTGACTGTTTATTAACTGAATCAATATGAAGTTCAAAGTGACAGTTTTAGCCTTACACTGATGCTGAAATACATCTAACAGCTAAAGCAGCAGATAGCTACTATATTTGTCCAGCCACAGTTTGCTGACAAAGCGTTGAGTCTGAGAGACACACTGTCATGGCCGCTTCCTGCCACACGAGGGCACAGAGGACCGGCTCTCTTCAGGGGGGGGCTTGGCAAGTCTCCCTCACTTTTCTCTCTTTAATTATTTGGTCTGGTGGAAAACGAGGATGGCAAGAGAGTGGTGACAGGGGAAAATACGAGGCAGAGTAAAGAGGCAAGAGCTAGTTTAGATACTTTGCTGGGGAAGGAAGGAAAAGACAGAAAGGTCGAAAGAAATCCATAAAAGGATAGGGACATTCACTCCTGCTAACAGCCACTGGCAGAGAGAATTCGAACAGAAATGAGAAAGACGATGAACAGAACAAGAAACACACTGAAGCCAGAGGGAAAAAATAGAACACACACACACAGTCAGGCAGGCAGTTCTGGAGTGGATTTCGGTCGCATGTGAGCGGGGAAGGGGAGGGAAAGGGAGGGAGAGGGAGGTGGGTCTAGATGACATCATGTGTTGCTATAGCCCAGCTGAGGCCTGGCAGGAAGATTTTTAACAGGCAACATCTGCAGGAGCTGAGAAGAAGAGGGGGGAGAGAGAGGAAGACAGACAGCGAGAGAAGGCCAGCCAGAGGATAGAAGAAGACAGGGGAAAGTTTAACCCTTGCAAAGCCCTGCTGACTGACAGACAGAAGAAGGGAGATGCAGACAGGGTTGCGCATAAGGCTCTACACGCAGCATTGTCAGACACATTCATACCCTTTTTTTGCATCAAGATGCAACTACACATCAGGGCAACAAAGGCACCACGAGGAGACCACAAGATCTATGATTGGTCAGCTTTGACATGTTTCTGATGCTGGTAGTGATTGTTGAAGTGAAGATAACATGGACAGGGTTGAAGTAAGGCTCAGTAATGTTGTGATGTAGCTAAAAAGACATTTCCAGTGCAAACACTTCTCCTCACTATGATGGTGCCTGTCAGAAGGAGAATGAAAGAATGTAAACACTATAAATTTGGGAATATAATGAATGCGCGACACAGCTTGACAGCGTGTTGCACATCCATCAAGTGTTACGTTGGTGCGATGACAATCAACGGGTTAAATCCTATGCTGAACTGTAAATCAATTCCTATGCCAGAGTCATTTACGGCGCGACTGCTGGAACACCTTGACGGCAAGGCATAAATCCGGCTTAAGCCTTTTTTCCCCTCTGCTGTCTTATTAGGGCGTGATGTGATGCGGCCCTGGGCAGGTTGACTTTTAAGCAGCTAGAGAAAGGTCACTACAGCCTGGCACTAATAACGCACACAATACAAAACTGTAACAGTGAGAGATCTACATACAGTAGCTGTTCATTCAATGGTGAAAGAGGCTGGTTGCAAAAATACAGAGAGAAACACATCGTGTAGTCTTCAATGAGCATTTAACTCTGATCGGTTTGCTTGTTATGTTTTGTAATTTTTTACATGTCGTAGTATTATGGGGGAGGTTAATTGAGGATGGCTCAAGACAAACAACCAAACAAGAAAGTGCAGAGTCCTTTTCAAATGATGCAGAGTCGGCTAAATGGTTTAGCCCTGCACACCCCACCTGCGCTTGCTGCTGTGTGCAACCGCTTTGCTGACATCCCCACTTTTGTTATTTAATTAAAATGGATAGAATCATATTGTTTTATAAAAAGGTCCTGTTATGGCGCATGTATTTTGTTGATACAAGCTCCTATTAAATTTGGGAGAACTGAATCACGGTGAATTGAATTATGATAATGCCTTTACCCTCCGGTTTTACACACACAACCTCTAGTTCGTTTTACGGCTACATAATCACTTAACCTTTTATATGGCTTAGCCTGTATTTTCACAGTTGGTCGTGTGTGCAAATGTGTGTGCGCCTTTACACACACACACACACACACACGGTTAACACACATACTGTTCATGCTAATTGAACTGAGAGCGAGAAGAGAAAACAGAAGGAAAAAAAGCACTAATCCTTCCAAATGATTGGAGCCATGTTGTCAAGGGCAAGATCCGTCTGTTTGACACAGGAGCAGAAAGAAAGAAAGAGAGAGAGAGAGTGGAGCATGAAGAGAAAACGAGTGAAAGAGATTGAGAGAGCTGGCGATACAATGAGAGAAAAGGTGGAATGAGAGTGCAGGAGGAACAACAAAATACACACAGTATGAGAGGAGTCTTGGAGAACCATGCAGGGTGCCAACAGTGAATTGAGAAAGAAGGAGAAAGAGTAGTGGAAGAGCCACAGAACAAAGACTAGTGAGTAAGTGAGGCTGAAGTTTGTCTTGGCAGACAGTCACTCTCATTGAGATTCATTGTTGGTTTTACTGGACAATTCCAGCCACTTTAAAAACCTGAAGCATATGCCTCGGTCTGCAGCAGCACATTACAACAACAACAACAACAACGGACAGAAGTTAGCATTCAACAGGAAGGAAAAGGCAAGGCAGGGGAGGAAATGGAAAATAAGACAGAAAGGAGGGAGCAACACTAGGAGATGGATCAGCAGACAAATGCTTCTGACTAGCTGATGTGATCATAAAAATGCCAGTTTTCTAACCAAAGCCACCTCTACCCCATCTCTTCTTTTTCCTCCTCCTCTTCCTTGTGGGGTTCCTTGAAACCTGCTTAGTGTCATGGAGAGGGAGGCAGGCTTTCACAGCCCCTAGCCAGCACTACTAAATATAGCTGCAGTCATGGCAGGCCAAAATACAATCATTACTCTCCCAGACACAATGGATGGAGAGGGGAGGAGAGGAGAGGAGTTAAAAGGCAAAGAGATGAGAAGATAGTGGCTGCAAGAAGAGAGGAAAGTATAAGGAAGAGCACAGAGAAGGCCAGGCAAAGGAGCAGACCAGCAATAAAAAAAATAAAAATAAAAAAAACAAGAGTATAGGAGGGAGACAAGAAAGGCACAGGAGTAGTTAGTAGAAATCATTGAGAGGAAGACAAAGAGAGGATGTGGCCAATGGGTAAATGAAAGAGAGGGAAGTGTTTTAAATAGATAAACAAGCATTCTGCACCTCGATCCTGTTAATACAGAATATTCCACCCCAGTTTTAGCAGAGCTAATACAAACCATTCAGCTGCCACAAAAGTTCCCCTCTAGGAGAATACTTCCCCTGCATGCTACCGTCACATTTTCCAAGCTCTCCTGGGGAGGCCATAAAAATGCTTTAAAGCGGTGTGATATTTAGCACGTTATGGCTTTGTCATCTTATAGAAATTCCAATACTGGGCACTCCTGTCTGTACAGTACCTGTTTGCGTAGCTCCTCAGCAGCTCTCCTCGATGGCAGCCCGTTGGCTGAGCCTCGACCGCTGGCCAGGGCCTGCTGCCTCACGTGCTCCCGTGCCTCTGCCCGCTCACTGCGCTCCCTCAGGAGGGGCGGAGGTGGAGGTGGAGGAGGTGGCAGTGGCGGGGCAGGCGCATCCCTGCCGTGAGTTCCCGCCTTGGGCCTCGGGCTCTCCCTGGTCCCTGCTTTACCATGGCTGTTGAACACTGGAGGGGAGAAACAGAGGAATCAGATGGGTTGCTTTTATGGAGAGAAGAAGTTTTTGTTTTTACATACAATGTTGCATCCGGACCAGCTAACTGGTTTTATTTATTTAGCTATCTGCTCCCGGTATATAAAATAGGCATGTCTTCATATACAGTACTTTGTGAGGATAATGGAGACGTCTTGGGCTGCCTCTTAGTTTTAGGGTTCTGCTAAGAGTGCAGCAAAAGGACAGACTCTGCTGTAAAGCGTTGCATGATTCACTATTGAGACTTATATGATATGTACACATTTAATATATTTCTTACAAGTTCTGCAGCATAAACTCCTACTGTGCACAACAAGTCAAAAGTAAACAGATAAAATAACAAATCAAGCCACTGCAAAGAAAACAAGACACTGTGAAAAGTCCCTATAAGGTAGCAAGGTATGAATACTTTTAATAGGATATAAACTATGCTTTTTCAGGCTACCGTCAACCTATGCCAATGCCAGTATGTGGACATAAGTCTCAATACCCCCCCATAGTGCAGAACTGCTTATAAACTGCTGGCACCAAACCACAACGACCAAGTGGAAAAGCCCGCACAAACATTGGAGTGACGGACTTTTGGCTGACATATAGCCCCCAATCAGTAAAATATGCATGATTTAAGGTGTGCATGAAAACGTCTTTATACTACATGTCAATGAACCTGTTCAAAATGGAGTTAGACTACATCAACCCCCGAGGATGATGCTAAACGAGTCGAACAGGAGCGAGCCAATTAACATACACATTCAATAGCTCTCTCTTAGGCCTTTATGAGGCTCAATTTAAAGTTTCATGGCACCTAAATACCAACAGGCTGCATGGAAAGAATGACAGAAGGCCACAGCACTCAAACACATAGCATTTACAATATACATGCAATGCACATAATCTACAATATGCTCTGTTAGACTACATGTGCGTACATTTTTAAACATCAGTGCATGTTTCTGTCTGCAAAAGTGTGTATGTGTACACTGTATACGCCTATCCACTCATAGCCACAAGTGAGTGTCTTGGGGTGTCTTGGGGTCTCTTGGGGCCCCTGGCTCAATGAAAAATGAAAAAAAAGAATGAGAAATCCTGACATTTTGAGAAGTGAGCTAAGCAAGAAACTGAGCCCAATAAAAGCTGTTTAATTTAGCTATGTCAACATGGCACATGGCCGAGTGAGAGAGAGAGAGAGAAGCCGAGAGACGGAGCACTGATGAATGGCCTACAATGTGGGCCTTTCCTGTCTCTCTTTACCTCCCAGAATAAAATGTTTCTCCCTCTTTTACTAATTCTATTTCTCCTTTTTCCTCAACTGCCCCTACCCCCTCCTCTCCTCCTTCCTAAGAGCCCATATAACCCTGCGCCTGCTGGAGAGTGGCCCAAGCTGCATATTAAAGTGTCACATTTGACACCAATCTTAATACCGCAAAAGTTACTGAGGTGTGCGTATGTGTTTGTGTGTGTTTGATAGCCAACATAGCATAAACACTGTCTCAATACTGGAGCAATGACCCAGTCTTGACTGCGTGTGCACACCTAGTGTGTAAACGTCTGTTTCGTTGTCCTTAACCCCCTCATCCCTATTGTCCCTTACAAAGTATATCTGCTTATTTCCCTCTTATCTATTTATTTAGCATATCACAGCGGAGGCGCCAAGCTGCTTTGCAAACAGTGTTGGTATATGAGATAAGAAAGGAGACTAAGCTGTCCTCATGCACACAACAAGCCTGGATTCGTTCAAACAGGTTTCACTATCCTACTGTTGGTGCTCCTGATACAGATATGTGCATATGTACAGTTCATGTTTCAAGATGCAGCTACAGATGTTCTTGAAGGAATGAGAGAAAAGTATATGTATCTAGGCATATGCAGGGGGGGATACACGCTGTCAGTGAACTACACAAAGGCAGTGCACAGTTCTCTAAGAGTTCAGTGCAAGCAAATCTATGGACCTCTCTCCCTCTTTCTCTCTTAATCCCAGCAGTCTCTCTCTCCTCCTCCACATTCCACTTGAGAGGATGACAGAGGAAAGAGCTGAGCAAAGCGTTCACCTTTTGAACCTTTCTGGCGGCAATTCTACAGACTAAAGGAAGGAGGGAGGGAGGGAGGGTGAAAAAGAGGAACTATGAAATCCAGCCCTTGTTTCATGGGGAAACGCCTGGCCGGAAGGATTGTATGTCTCCGAAGTCTGCCAGGGAGGGAGGACCTCCAGGTTAAAAATCATCCCTCTACTGCTCTGTGAACAACTGTAGGTTCAAAAACTAAAAGATGGATATATAGCAAACATGATATGCCACAGCAAATAATGAGACACAGGAGAAATGTTTTGGATCCTCCTGAAATTAGTACATGTTTTACTTTGTACACTGCAAAAACAAAATATCCATCTTATCAACTTATTTTCATGATTAAGCCCTAAAAGTCAGATTTTCTTTGTTTCAAGGTTTTCTAAAAATCCACTTCTGAACAACAGAGAAAAGAATCACTTGATAAGATGAAGAATTTTGCAGCATACTTGTTTTTCTAGTCATCAATGCTGGGATTGTGAGCAAGTCTGTTTTCATGGGCACAGTTGCCACATGCATGCCATTTCCTAAATGTTGTGCACAAGTGTGTGTGTGTGCATTCATCTGAATGTCTACGTGCCCCGAGGGGATAAGTATGCTGTCACTGCGCTGTGTGTGTATGTCGAGGGCCCCGGCCAGCTGTTTCAGTGCATGCATAAACACCTTGTTAGGGCTTAGCAAGCTAAGTGTTAATTGGGGTGAAAAGAGACGATGTGCTGCTCTGCTATCCCATGTGACTTACTCAGTCTCTGCAGTGGAAAACAAGAGTGCAAACTTAGGAAATTGCTCACGTTCACACACAAACAGGGATACACACAAACACACAAACACACACACAGACAAGCACTACTACTCCTCTGTCCCATGACTCATTCTGTGCTCCTGTTTGGCCAAATATTCTTGCTGTTGCGTTTCTCCATCTTTCACTCTCTCCGAATCCTTTTCCAAAATGGATCTTTCCATTCCTCTCTAGTTATTCTGCTGGTGCATCGTCCTTCACTCCCCTTCTTTCTCCCTTTGCCCTCACCTCCCTCTTCATCCATCTCTCTCCCTCAGAGTGCCCCATATTTTCCTCCTCTTCACTCACTTTCATCTTGTACACATGGCACTCCTGAACCTCTTCTCTTTTGTTTTTCTCTCTCTCCTCTGTTAACTCCTCCTTCTCATTCCCCTTCTCTTCAGACGGTAAACACAGGCAGGATCTCTGAGGACCATTAGACACAAAACTGGTCCTACTTAATAACGACTGCATTTCTTATCAAATTCTGGGAATAGTAGGGAAAGAGTTAATGATATACTCTACATAAAAGGTACAACTGAGAGACAAAAGAAGTGTGTTAGTATGATAAGTATTATCTCCAAGCTCTAGTCTCGTCTTTACCATGCCCGTTGAGCGGCTGCCTGGCGGGGAGCTTGCCCTTGCGGGGTGTCGAGTGGCAGGAGGAGGAGGCCGAGGCTTGGCTGCTGCTTCCCCCACCGTGAGAGTGGACCCCACCTCCGTTCCGCACCTCCTCCTCCTCCTCCAGGTCGTCCTCCTCCAGGTCCTCCTCCTCCTGGGAGCTTCCGAAGTAGGCCATGTTGCTGGGCAGGGCCGCTGAACCTGAGTGCAGAGAGGTGGAGGCAAGGAGAAGAGAGGGACACCAAGAGGGGAGATGAATAATAAAGAGGTAGGGCAGGGGGGGGTGGAGGGAGGAGTGAGAGAAAGGAAAAGAAAAGGGGAAAGAACGACAATTTGAAATAAGAAAAAGGCACCAAAAAACACAAAATATTATCCTCTTTGACATCCCCCAGCTGTTTCCATGTATGGAAAAAAAATTTCTTTTTTTCATTCTAATCTCTGACATTACAGATGAATCAACATCACTATGTAAGTGGTGAAATATTAATGTATAAATAGAAGTTGCTCAAGCGTTTGTGAATAATGGTGATTGTGCTGCTGTTTTTTTCATCTGTTATTATCTCAGTTGGTGGCCTATTGATGCTTTGTAAACTGCTCTGCACATAGCGGCTCCATTGTTACATTCACACACGCACACGCACGCACGCACACACACACACACACACACACACATCCC